CTGCTGTTGGCGTGTGTGTGTGTGTTTGTGTGTGTGTGTGTGTCTGTGTGTGTGTGTGTGTGTGTGTGTGTGTGTGTGTGTGTGTGTCTGTGTGTGTGTCTGTGTGTGTGTCTGTGTGTGTGTCTGTGTCTGTGTGTATTAGATTTGGCTCATTCTCTCAACTCTAGCTTTAGAGGTCTCGCGTAAGGACAGGAGACAAGAGTCTAAGCCAGCGTAGGCCTGTTTACATCAAATAAAAAGTGACTTATCTGTCTCCCTCAACATGTTTGTACTTGTGTTATATAACCCAGCAGGCCTTTGGCCAAACCTTCTCCTGTACTGAGACCGATTAGAGATTAGGCCTAGTTGTGTTGCTGCACCTGTCTCAGTTCTGTGTGAGCATCTGGCTGGATCAGAACCAGTTTAGCAGCCGCGTGGGTCATGTGGAGGTGGAGAGAGTCCACTGCTGCTTTCTGTGAACAGACGCAAACAGATGACTGTAGGGATAATGATCTCCTGACAGTACACACATCCCTCCAGCCTCAAAAGCAACAACACAAAGTAATCGAGCCTTGCATATGCACCTGTCCATGTCGAGGATTAACAAATGCCGCTAAAGTCCTTTTTAAAGCAAGTCAGGGCACTCTGCAGTCATTTATGGTGTCACCTCTAGGCTATTTCCAGTCATGTGAGTACAGCTTGTATCTACTTAAATGGATAAAGACTAGGGATGTAACGATTAACCACGAGCCGGTTGAAAATCGATTCAAATATGTGACGATTCAAATCGGTTGAGATGCTAAACAAATTGGGGTTCTTTTAGGGGTAGGAGTTTATATGAATCCATGTCTGAGGGGAACTTACTGTCTTTAGAAAAGTTTAGATGGTATTTTTTATTTTAATCTTGCCTCTGCATAATGCATATTAAAGTTCATAAGTGCAGCGCTGCTTTGTTTACAGCGGAAACCAAGGAAACGCTTTAAGCGCCACCTGCTGGCAGAGAGGGAATCTGCGTCTCATTCAGCTCCTCTGCTGTTTCTGTTTCATGCAGATGTTTTTAAGTATAGTTTCACAAAACTGAAGTCAAACCATTATGTTTTTGCTTCAAATTTCGAAATTATACAATCCAATTTCGATTAAAACTGCTCATGTTGCATGTATGCAGCATCTTTTTTTGGATTATGATTCAAATGCAGTGGTTGCCTATAATTTTAAAAGGAAAGAGCACAGACAAAGCCTTAGTTTGTTTATATGAAGATATTTATTTTAATTGTGTTATTTATTTGATTTGGGGCTTGTTTTAAAAATCTCAATTTAGTTTTGTTATTTACATTTACATTATATTTAAATGTTGTCATTTAGCAGATGCTTTTATCTAAAGTGACTTACAAATGAGACAATAGAACCAATCAAAACCAACAAAAGAGCAATAATATGCAAGTGCTATATTAGTATATTATTATAATGTTATATTTCAATTTCACAAAGAAATGTGCAGCATTTTGTCCAAGCAATAATAAAAGGACACATTTAATTTATAATTTGTCTTAAATCTCATTTTGTAAAAAAAAATAAAAAAAAAATTGTGAATCGAATAGTGAAATCAAAACCGTGAATCGAATCGAATCATGAGTTGAGTGAATAGTTACATCCCTAATAAAGACTGAAATCTCCAAAACTGTTGGCTAATCTTGTTGCAGTATTAAATAAAGTCACTAATGGGTTCTGACAAAAGTCATATCATACACTTTACTTTAGTTACATGTTCATGTGATGTTGCTGTGCTACATGGTCACGAAAACTTATAATTTGCATGCTTTTTTATGCATTGCGGTTTAAAAACAGCCATAAGCCATTGAAATGCAATCAGCAGCGGAAAAAAAACTAATTTCGCTATATGCGCACATTGTCTGAGACACTGTTTCTGAGCACTGTCAGAGAGGCTCATAGAGCGCGGGAGTATTGAGTTATTTTTGCCACTTTATAGGCCTTGAACGGTTAAATACACACTTGTATGTGTCAAAATGCTCATCTTTGCAAGTATCCTCTTAAACACAGTAGGTTTTAAGGTAAAGCAAACAGCTGAGAAAGAAAACATGTGCAACAGTATATTGGTTCTGGGCAGCTCTTAAAGTGACAGCAGTCTAATATCCCTGCTGTCTGTCATTTATGTTAATCAAACAACAAAAGAGAAGAAATCTCTCACTGCTCTTGACTAAATCACTTTTGTAACTTTAATAAAAAGAAATATATATTTAATTTAGTGGCGAACAGTGAAGAATATGCTGTGTTTTTATACATTTGATTATACAATGTATGTAGCATTTCTTATTTATTTGTACTTATTGTAGTTTTTTGTCCTATTGCTTGTAATTAATTTCTTATTTTTATTTAATCACTGACTATTTACTTGTCTTCAGTGAGGTTGAGTAGCATTAGCTTTTTGTGATATTGACACTGGTGACAAGAATTATGAAATTTCTATGGTATCAAAAATTTTTATATCATGAAGACAAAAAAAACTGGCTCATAAGAGTCTTTCATTGGGAGTCAGTTAGATTACATTGGCCGTGTTGAATGTTTTTGATTTAATAAGAAGAACCAGCTTCCAAAGTGTCATTAATCAAAAGTTCAAACTACATGCTGTTTCTCTAAATTCGCTAAAAAAGAACTAGCTCATATGAGTCATTCTTTCAGAAAACTTACAGTTGGAATGCACTGGTGATGCTGTATGTGTTTTTTTATTTTTCATAAAAACTCATAAGAGTCATTGTTCCACAATCAGACTACACAGGTCACGCAGTATATTTTTGATTTGCTAAAAATAATCGACTAAATTTATCTTATTTGTTTTTAACAAATGTTCTGTCTCCACCATATACTGTCATATCTGGTGTATAAACAGTGCTGCAAGGCAGTTATAAAACTGCTACTAATACATGATGTTCTTTAACTAAGTGGAAGCATGACGCACTATTAATGATTAGCCCTTCATACTCTTTATCATCTCAGTGTGGCTGACTCAGTCGCCCAATGAGTCAAGAGTGGCACTGAAAGTGGAAAGAGCATTAACAGCCTTAATCAGACATCCTGTGAAATGAAAAAAATTAAATTATTATGTGGGTGTACAGAGCGTGGTTTGTAACGTGTGGTTTGTGTCTTTCAGCTATAATGTATGTGATGGGGGCTCTGGGGCCAGCTGCAGGGTACCTGCTTGGAGGCGTTCTGATCGGCTTCTACGTGGATCCCAAAACCATCATCAACATTGACCAAAGTGATCCACGCTTTGTTGGCAACTGGTAAGATCAGTTCTGCATCAGAGTGTGTGTAGCTTCATTCCAGTCTATGAAGGAATAACATACATTTTTACCACTTTTTGAGCTCATTTTACTAAAAATAAAGCTGGAAATGTCCATTTCAGTTCATTTATTTCATTCCAGCGTTTGAAAGAATAACTAATTCAGTTTTTACCACATTTTACTACATTTAACACTGGAGATCCCCATTTCAGTTCTTTTTTTTTTATTCCAGCCTTTGAAAGCAAGCATAACTTTAATTTTTACTAGAAATAAAGCTGTAGATACTCATTTTAATTCCTATATTAATTCCGGCCTTAAAAAGAATGGCATAAATAAAATGTTTACCTCTTTCTGAGCGCATTTTACTAAACATAACGCTGTAGATCCACATTTCAATTCATTTATTTCATTCTAACCTTTGAAAGAATTGCATAAATTCAATTTGACCACTTTCTGAGCGCATTTTGCTATAAATAATGCTGGAGATCCCCATTTCGATTTATTTCTTTCATTCCAGCTTTTGAATGAATAGCATAAAATCAGTTTTACCGCTTTTGAGCACACTTTACTAAAAATAACACTGAAAGTCTAAAATTAATTTTGCTTGTTCTGTAAAGATCAAACAAAAGCCTAATTATCATTCATCCATATTTACATGTTCTTAGGTGGAGTGGTTTCCTGCTCTGTGCTTTCGCCATGCTGTTGGTCATTTTCCCCATGTTCACTTTCCCCAAAAAACTGCCCCCTCGTCACAAAAAGAAGAAGAAAAAGCATGGGGCAGACAGCACCTCTAATGACGACGATGTCCTGAAAGAGAAATCCAACAGCAAAGGCCAGACTGTGGCATCCTCCATGGGCTTTGGGAAGGACATCAAAGGTGTGTATCTGATAAAGGTCATATGATGATGCACACTACAGGAACCGTGCATGTACATATTAGAGTGTTACCTTGAAGACATGGTTATTTTTGTCCTCAACACATTCTGAGAAATCATCAGATTAGCAGAGATTAATGTTTCAGTCATAATATTGAAAACCTTTGGATATTGTAAAACTGCTTCACTGCAGATTGGTCCTTTAAGGGGTGATTGTGTGATTTAAAGCAAACACTTTTGTCAAAGCATCTTAGAGTACAGTTATTATAAAGACAGTCCTTTGGGGTTTAGTGTCCTTCACGGGGCATATGTGAACCTGCAGTCTTTCAGTTATCAGCTCAGATCTTTGACCATTAGGGTTTGTCTCACCCTTATTTAATAACAGTGATGCTGACCACCACTGTCAGGAGATTTTCAAATGCTGATATAAAAACTGTAGATTGATGATCAAGCTTAAAAAGTTATAAATGAAGACTGTGTAAACTAGCAGAAGTTGCTTTTCATTATTCATCTGGGAAGAGCATTAATGACAATTCTGCCACCATCATCACTAATGCGGTCCCGTTCATTATCAAACTGCAGTTACTCTGCTGCTAGGAAGCTGAGAAACTTGAGAACTTTATCTGAGAGAGATGACAGAAACCAGTTTCTGCTTTACAACAAAAAATAAAACAAGTAATTAAATAAGATGAATGTTTAAAATAATAATAAAACTCACTTGTGAATATAAAGTCAACATTGTGAGATATAAAGTTGCAATAACAAGAGTAACACTAGAGGAATAAAAAGTCAGAATTGTGAGATGTAAATCCTAATGTAGAGAGATTAAAGTGCCCCTATTATGGGTAATGAAAGGTTCATATTTTGGTTTTGGGAATCCCCAACAACAGGTTGACATGCATACAAGGTCAAAAAACAAGGTCTTATAATATGCTTTTATTTTTACCTTATTTCCTCAACGACTCCCAAATGATTCGCTCAACGATTCATTTTTCCAAACCCCTCCTTTGCCTGACGCTAATCTGCAGTGATTGGTCTGATTGGTCTCATTTTCATTTCATCATGCCTGTAATGCCTGATAAAGCAGCGTTTGTGAGCACAGTGCTGTTTTGTGTACAGCGTTACCGGGGAAACCGCAATTTTTACCGCTTCAAAAGCGGCACCTAGTGGCAAAGAATGAATTTGCATTTTCGTTCAGACCATCTCGAAAAGACCCACAAGTGGGCGGGCAATATGCTAATGTTTCAGGTTGACTTCAACATGAAAGGCTTGGGATTCATTTTAAAAACGACTCGTTTCAATGATTCAGAGTCGACTCTTTCTGTTGAGAGACAATAACATTATACACGGTGCATTTTCAGATTTAAAACTTTGCAGGATGTTTTCATTCACTTAGAGCTGTGTTTCACACTGCATGAAAGGTAATTTTTAAACGGGGACTCCCAAAGCCAAAATATTAACCTTTCATTACCCATAATAGGGGAACTTTAAATTGATGTGGTTGTATTTTTTTAAACTTACATTAAAGATCCTGAAAAAAGTATTACGGTTTTTACAAAAAATGTTAAGCAGCACAATCTTTTTCAAAATTGATAATAATAATAAGAAATATTTCTTGAGCACCAAATCAACATATTAGGATTTCTAAAGGATTATGTGGCACTGAAGACTGGAGTAATGGCTGCTGAAAATTGCCATCAAAGGAATAAATTACTTTTTCAAATATATTAAAACATATAATTAAATATATATTATAACTTAAAACTAGAACAGTGTTAATTAAGTGGTATAAATCTCATTGCTATTCTCGTCACACTGTGTCTAAACTGTATCCAGATAAGTGCCAATTATTATTTGCCTGGAGAGACTTTTGTCCTGCTTTGACAAATATACACAAGTGACTACAATCAAGACAAGCCTTGTTCTATAAACCCAATGTAACCTACTTCCATTCCCCCCGGCCTGCATGTTTTTGCATAAGTAGGCTTTCAACATTTCAACTGTTCTACAATGCCTTACAGTAGGCTAGAGTAGTTTCTGGGACTTTGATGTAGAGAGCGACAAGCTGTTTTGTTCGTTAGTAGGTAAAGCTTCTAATCTGGCTGGCTTCTATGTCTCTTCTGTCAGTCCCATAAATCCCATAGGTGGTATGAGAGTTCAGCCTTCAGGAGCAAATTAAAGTTTGATCATAGTTCATTTACCATGGTAACAGCGTTGACCTGCTAATTAAAAGAGGTGGCTTTGTTGGCCATGATGAAGCATTCGGCTAAAACTTATGGGATTTAAATAGATTAGGCGATGAACACAGAAGAGCTGTGGAGACACCGTGTTTAGGTTTAGCTGTCTTTACCCTATTAGAACAGTAAACATCTGTTAGTATGGATTATGACTGATTTGAGAGCTTATGATGGGGAAAAGAAAGCGGGTCGCGTCTGTGACCACAAGCATATCTTGAAGGCAATTTAGCATGAAAATAAGTTTATTTTATAATTTTTTTATTATTCTATATTATTTATTTATTACATTTTTATTGATGCACTGTTTGTTGGTACTATGCTGGTTATTGGCCTATATTATAGGTGTTTTAAAATTTTGTTTATCTTTTGGTATTGAATATATATCTGCTAATATGAAAAGTGACGTGGCCAATTTTGGTGACCCATACTCAGAATTAGTGCTATGCATTTATCCCATCCAAATTGCACACACACAGCAGTGAACACACACACACTGTGAACACACACCCGGAGCAGTGGGCAGCCATTTTTTTGCTGCGGCGCCCGGGGAGCAGTTGGGGGTTCGGTGCCTTGCTCAGGGGCACCTCAGTCATGGTATTGAAGGTGGGAGAGAGCACTGTACATTCACTCCCCCCACCTACAATCCCTGCCGGTACGAGACTCGAACCCACAACCTTTGGGTACGAGTCTGACTCTCTTACCATTAGGCCACTATCGCTCACTTACATGTATTTAAAAGCACTAATAATTTAAGTGTTTAATGTAATTTTTAACAAAATACAAAATGAATATCCATTTATCCTACTGAATATTTTAATGTTGTAGTGCTTGTTGTAATGTAAAGTTTATTTGTAGCATTCAAACAGATTTATTTTAGTTTTTTGCATTCTCTTTTATACAGCACTGGTATGATTAAAAATACACCTTGAATTTGTATTGATTTAAGCAATCATAGTGGCACAATACACAATAATATAAAATGTTTAACACTACTGTTATGCAAGGACTTGTTAATTTCAAAACAGAAAATAAAGATTTTTATAGTCTTACGAAATGTCTTTATAAAAAAATTCTTATAAAGACATTTATATTCTTTACGGTCATCTAACACTCACTTTAAAATTAGTATTTAAAAGCACTAATAATTAAATTTTTAAATGTAAATTTTAGCAAATGACAAAATGAATATCCATTTATCATGCTGCATATTTTATGTTGTAATGGCTAATATCATTTGTAGAATTCACACTGATTTATTTTATTTTTTATTTTTTTTTAGATAAAATATTACAGAATTTTTATGTTGGCCATTTAACGGTTATTGGTGTGTGCAGTTGCTGATGTTGTTTTTTTCTCTTATTGTACAGACCTCCCCAAGGCTGCCATAAAGATCCTCAGCAACATGACGTTCCTGTTCGTGAGTCTGTCCTACACAGCCGAGAGCGCCATTGTCACTGCTTTCATCACTTTTATCCCCAAGTTCATCGAGTCTCAGTTTGGAATCCCTGCCTCCAACGCCAGCATATACACAGGTACATTTTTTCATCGTCACAGTAATCATTATATTAATTTATTTCTCCTTAACATTTTTACGTATGATTTATTTTCTAGTCATATCACACATTGCACATGGTTCGCACTCTGTTCCTCACATTACAGAACATGTGTTAAAAATGAAGTGTGAAGACATGCATGATATTTCTTTTCGCAGCTGTACTTCTTATTTTGTGGAGGCATATTTGATAATTACTATATAAAGCTGTATATGCTTCTTTGAGTGTGTATCACTGGGTCTTAAGTAGGCCTGGGCGATAAAAAGTTATCGATATTTATCGACTGTACACCTTCTTCGATAACGATAGAAACAATGTTCGATATAGCGCACGATATATAGACAGGTGCTATGAGTGACGCAAACAGCACACACAAACACGAACACATGCTGTAATGAGTGCTGTGCCTGCCTGTAATGAGGAAATTGTGAATAAAGAATTAATATTAGTCGAATTTAAAATAAGCATTTGAATGTTAGGAGTGCGTCAGGGAGCGTCATCAGTGGCGCGCTGAGATGCAGTGATGATGATGTAAGTGACGTTGTTGCATTTGAATGTTTTGTTAGTCTAGCCCACGAGACGCGCCGCTGCTGCGTTATTCATTCAAAATATTAGAGAAATATAGAAGCTCAATGCGGAGAAGATCTTGATTAGGTTAAAACCGAAACCAAGCCATTCACACACAACGCATATTCAGCGCATTTTTTTGGACAGACAAATACAACTGCTGCACTCGCGTCACACAAGAGATGTGTAGAAAGCCATGCAAAGTTAAAACAGATTAAACTTTTAAAAAACACGTCACAAATTTGTGGAGGTTTATTCTTTTTCACTGTGTCTCATATGTTTTTAAATGCAATCTGTGTGAATGGCGCTTCAGCTCTTTGGATTAAGCAATGCATAAATGCATGATGCAGTTTTGTTCATAATTGTTTATGCAATTTACAAAATTATATTTGATTTTTATGAGTTAATTGAGAAATAATGCACGTTTTTTATAGAGTTACTTCCTTGCATCGACAATTTAAATGTGCTGCATTATTTTGCTCATTGCACCCTCCTTTGGCCTCTGGAGACAAGCCAAAAGTTTCTTTAAGACCTATTTAATCTGCATATAAAACATTAGAAATTAGATATTTGTTTAATTTTTATTTTGTGTTTGTTTGTTAAAACAAAAAATATTTGTTGTTTGTCTCATTAAATTGTTAATTTAAAAATACAGTGGTTGAATTAAAAAAAAAAATTCTATTGCTCTTTGTTTTAAAAAAGGATATGAAAAATGTAAATAATTATCGATACCGAACGATATGAAACATCGTTGATCAATATCGTTGATCAATTTTTTAGCTGTATCGCCCAGCCCTAGTCTCAAGATACCATTAAAATTTAATTGCTGCTCATCTACATCAACCCTCAAAAACATATTGCCCTCTATCTCAGACTCTACATCATTATTAAGCTGTGCATATGTCAAAATATCTCAGCACAGATGCTCTCTCATAAGGTAATGAGAGACTGGCCAAAATCCCTAATCAGAGCCCACCAGGACTGAGTAGAGAGTGTGATCTACTTCTGTCAGCACGGGTCACTGCTGCTTTCATCCAGTTTGTTTACTATATAAATGAATGAATATATATAAGATAAATTACAGTCCATTACTGATTCCAAATTATATTACAAAAAATTTAGTCAGTAACGTAATCCATTGCATTACACATTTTAGGTAATATAATTGAACTACTTTTTGATTACTTTTAGATTACTTTTGACCTAACTCATTTATTACTTTGATTTAAATAGGATAATCTTGTACCATATTGATATAAAAATACAAAGCGAAAGAAAATTAAATTACATTGTAATAACATTGTAATTAAACATTACATTATGTCATATAGTATTTGATACATTTATAGTATACAGTGTAAATGTATCAGTTTTGCATTTTTTACATCAGTTTTTTGTATGTAAAAAAATTATAATAGTCTACTATAAAATCTAAAAATTATTGAAATTTAAAATGTGAAAATAATCCATCTCTATGCAACCTTTATATTAATATTAGTACTGTCAAATCGATTAATAACATCCAAAATAAAAGTCGGTGTTTACATGTGTGTACTGTGTATATTTATATGTATATATATATAAATACACACACATGCATGTATGTATTTATACATGTAATATATACTTATGTATAATATAAATCAAATAGAAATATATATGTATAAATAAATATATAAATATATTAGAATTATGTAAATAATTCTTAAACATACCTGTATGTGTGTGTATTTATATGTATATATAAATGTACACATTACACACATATATTGTAAACACAGACTATAACATTGGATGCGATTAATCACGATTAATCGAATTGGCAGTACTAATTAATATTAATATTGTCAACCTTTGTCATATAGGGGATTCTAGGGCTCTGTTGAAGAATTAAATGTGAGTTAAGAACTCAACGCCACAATGCTTGATGTATTTTTAATAATTTTGGGGTTTTGGGAATTTTTACGTTTGCTTGCTAAGTAGTCTTTGTTTAAATATGCACATTAATAATGATGGCTTTTCCAAATATGAGCAATAATAATAAAGGTGCTTCCTAAGTGGCTTCTCAGTGATTAGTGTCTGTATATAAACTAGCAGGGTTCTGGTTTAGAGTCATTATTGTTGCCCCTAAGCTTGTTGCCAGGATACAGGGAGAGACAAATTAATGGTATGGTTGCTATGTGGACTCTTAACTATGCTTGTGTGTTCTTAGATTATAACAGGAAAACAACTTGTTGGCTAGAGCTGTCGGGATATAACCCTCATGCATAAGGTCTCTCCTTCAAACAGAAGCGAGTAAAACATTCTCTGATTTAAACCCTGCTGTATTAAGAGCAGATTGATATGCCTGCTGAAGTCAGAGCATTCACACAGGCCTGGATGTTTTACACATCAATAGATGCAAGCAGTTTGTCGTTTTTGTGCTGTTTCCTCAGTAATGGCTGCCAAGATTCCCTTCAGCCTATAAGACTGCAGCTGCAATAAACTAGAGATAGACAGAAGACAGATGGTATACCATAAAACAGAAAATTGAGGCCAGGGAGCATTAGTTCTGTTAATTATTAACAGAACTAATTAATTCAGTTGAAAATCACAGCTTGACTCCAGATGCAACAATGTCTTTAACAGTGTTCCTAGATCACCTATATGAATGTCTGAGTTGTTCCTATAGAGGCATTAAAAACTGTGTACGATGTTAATCAAAATCTATTTAATTAGCCTAAGTGTAGACTGTTTATGGTTAAGCAATTAATGTGTGATCACAGAAGTATGTGTATCAACTATTTTACAATGGCTCATCCAGTCTGATTCAGAGCTAGAAGTATCTGCTTTAAAAATGTATGTTTTTATTTGTGGTGAGTTTCTAAAATAAAGCAATAGTCACACATTCTTTTAAGAAGTTTGTTTATTTGTTTGTTTGTTTTTAAAATTCTGTTAGTGCTGTCAAATGATTAATCGCGATTAATCGCATCCAAAAGAAAAGTTTTTTATACTATATGTATGTGTACTGTGTTTATTTATTATGTATATATAAATACACACACATACAGTATATATTTTGAAAATATTTACATGCATATACATTTATATATATTATAATATTTTATTTTATATGTAAATATATTTAATATATAAACATAGCATGTTTTTCTATAATATATACATGCATGTGTTTGTATTTATATATACATAATAAATGTACACAGTACACACTCATATATTATGTAAACAAAAACTTTTATTTTGGATGCGAGCAATCACGGTTAATAATTTGACAGCACTATTTATTATATTTATATTTATTATAATAATGTATAATTATTCATATTATTAAATGAATCTACTATTATTATCAGGGGTGCACATAAGTGGGACACAGGTGCGCATGCGCAACCAAAATGCACTGTGTAAATAAGTTCAGACTGCTCATTTGTGTACCAACATGGTTGACAGCTGTTAATGCACGATCACCATTTTAGATCGACAAACTGTAATGCTGTATAAGATTTCTATTCGAACTGAAAGCATAAATCTATTCTATCCACCACCGTTTTCAAAGAACAATGCAAAACTGTGACATTTCATTCCCTCAGTTTTACATAGGCCTACATTCTAAATCATAAGCATCTTACAGACTTTTTCTAAACGTCTGTCTGACATACGTCTTGCAGATGTAAATGCAGACGTCAGATAGACATCTCTGTAATGTGCGTTTGCTATCAGGGCTGACGCTCTTCAATCGGCAGCGCTAAACCGGGCAGCATATATACTTAGTTGCTGGCAACCCGCCAAAATAAAAGCTTGCTGATTTTAAGTTTGAAGATTCATATTTTTTTTTAAAGTAAATATTAGCATTTTATTTTTAAGTTTTCTATAAAATAATTGTATTTTTATTTAATACTTTATTTAATACCCTCTTTATTTTTATTTGTGTTATTATAATACACTTTTTATTATTTTATTATATTTTAAAATATAATAGTATTATCACGCTTTATTATTTTCTTTATTATTAAAAAAAAACGGAATAAATAAATGCAATAATATTATCATCAATATTATTTTAAAAAAATGATATTTAATGGGTCACACTATGTGCAGTGTGAGGACCAAACCAAATCTCCAGGTGCTCTTATGAGAACCAGGCTGAAAAACGTATGTGCATCCCTTATTATTATTATCATTATTATTATTATTATTATTACTATTATTATTATTGTATTTGCATAATTCATAATCATAATAACTTTTTAATTATTATTAGAATTTATTTATATATATATATTTTTTTTTTTTAATTAATATTAACCATGAGGGGGGAAAAAACTATTATTTAGCCAAATAACATTTGTCTAAGTAAGGTAGTATTGTAGAATGTGCATCACAGGTGTGTGTCTGTATTTTATAGTGCCATCAAATGTGACTCATTTAATCATAATTAAGAGTTAGAACTGTCTGTTTTAATAATAGCGATTTAAAATTTGTCATTTAATATCAAACAGAGGCTTGATAACAAAGCGTTTCTTTGTGGATTTCTTGGCTTTTTCATTCCCATGCATCTCACTGTGTCTTCAAGTCCACATGACTTCAGACAGCACTAATGACAGCGAGAGAGAGAGAGAGAGAGTGTGTGTGTGTGTGTGTGTGTGTGTGAGAAAGATCTGTCAGTGGGCTGTGGTCATTAACACCCTGCTTTGCTCCAGCTTGTGGCCTACAGGAATCGTTGTACTTTGCCTTTGCATGTCCCACGCTGCCCTCCTCCTCAACACACACGCAGCTCTATACCAGCTGTGCACGCAGCCAGTGCCGAATCTCCCAGGATATCCTCTCAAGGAGACTTTCTCTGCTCTCCTTCTAGACACACTGAGGGTTTGTGTGAATAGTGCTTGTTTCTCCTTCTCCTTTCATGACAGGGAGGTGTTCCTGACACACTTCTGGCTAAATATAGCCCAGAGGAACACTGTATTGGCTTCACACAGCCGTGGTTGTCTCATGAACGGGCGTTCTTACCACCTCGTCAGGTTGGAAGAGTATGTGTGTTTATCTACGTGTGGGTGTGCAAGCATTTGATGGAGTGTAATGAAGTTAGGTGTAATCAGCTTGAAGTTGACTGCCATGGATTTCCTTGCTAGTTTATGCTAGTTTGGTGCTAGTCTAGCTGGTGAAGTTGGCTGGCTAAGGAGACAGCCTTGCTGGTTTAGCCCAAGAGATCAACGTTTGTCTGGTTAACATGGTCCAGATAGCCCCTGCTAGTAGATTTTGCAACTGCACCAACTAGTATCTTTCTCAACTGACGACCATTCAAAATGAGCTGTGTATTCTCATATATGCTTTTTTCCAAGAAGCATATAAATAGTAAATGTTAAAAAAAAATTTATAGTAGATTTTTACCAGTGGCTTATTTTTGTCAGTTAACACAATGCCGGTTTAACTGTTAGCTAAGGAACATATATAGCTAATATTTGATTATGCTATATAGTAGATTTTTATCATTGCATGATTTATTGCAGTAAACTAATGAGGTACCTATGTGTGTGTGTATATACAGTATATATACAGTATATATATATATATATGCTTACAAGTGAAGTAAGGGAATGTCATTTCAATTTAAATTTAATTTGATTATTTTATATTATGTGATATTCAAAAGATGTAGGTTTTCCATCATTTAAAATATGTACATTTTTCATCATGAAAATGATTACTAAATACGGTAAAGTGACTGTTCTCTCATTTCTACTTAAGGACTGAATAAAGTACACTTAAAAGAGATGTCTCAGCCAATAAAATGGATAGATTTTGCAGTGGAATAGTATATTGCGCCAACCACACAACTGTCATTGAGATAAATGAGAATGCTATTGGATATAGACCTCCTTGGTTTAGCTGGCAAAAAAAAAGTTACCTTGACTGAATCAAAAATGGACTGATGTTGAATTTGATTTCTGTGTTTAGATTGTGTTATGACGCATTTATTAGAGAGTGGTCTTGAATCTCTACCCAGCTTTTCTTACGCATTATAAATTTGCTTTTACGAGGCGCTCACTCTTGACCGTGCTGAAAGCAGGCATGTGCTTGCCTTGCCCACCTAATGGATTTACACAGTGACCTCGGACTGCCAGCAGTCAGCTTTGACTTTCAAATCCCAAGCTGTGATGCCAGCACGTGTGCCACACTGCTCTGCCTCATGCACATTCTGTCCCCACTCACTGTTATTCTGCCAGCCTCTGATATCTATCTGTGGTTCTTAGTCACTCGATCACTACATAAACGTTTGTCCTTGGTCTATTTTTACTGTGTTTCTTCTTTTTGCTTAATTCTTTAGACTCTAAAATCTACAGCCAAATGGCTGTGACGTGAACAGATGTTTTTCTTTTTGATGATGGTCCTGTGAAATATGTTCAGGATGTTCACATTCCTTCAGGTCTTTGTGTTAACTTCCACCCATAGAAATATGTGGACATTCCTTTCCTTGAGCTGCATTGTCACATTTTACTTCTATAATTTTGTAGAATTTTATTTTTGTCCCCTATCTATCTATCTATCTATCTATCTATCTATCTATCTATCTATCTATCCGTCCGTCCGTCCGTCCATCCGTCCATCCATCATCTGTCTATCACATATATATATATAAAACACATATACTGTATATATATATAAAAAAGTAAAAACACATTTTTACTCAAATTAATCAAAATGGATTTATAGCGTTTAGGAACCAATTTCCCTTACATTCAACTTCCAAAAGTGCATTAATCTTTGCCATGTTACATTCATTTAGTTGACTAGTGCTATACTCTGTATTAACAAAAACATTAATGGCATAAATAAAAACACTTACACTGACAAGCTACGCAATATCGCATTTATAATCGAATGCGACTCATCTGCGATTATGAAAGCGATATACAAGTGATCTATGGCTCTGTGTATTAAATGCCACTCCATCTGAAAGCACGTGATGGAGATCTACGATTCACAGAACCGGCTTTACTGACGAGATGCGCATGACAACCACATGCGATTTATCGTGCAGCCCTAAGTTTGTTTGTTGATCACAAAGTACAAAATAGATGAGGAAAACTAGGAAGCCGGGTGTATTCAAAGCGCCACCGTACTGTCTAGAGTGCGTGGAATGGTGTGCTGTGATTGGTTGAGCGGATATATCGTATTCTGCAGAAAAGGGAGACTGGCGTTTGTCGCGGTTTGAAAAAAAGGGAGAAAACATGACTATACAATAACTCGGTGGATATCGCATTTTGTGTAAAATTAAAAATGGACTTTTCAATACCGACCAGATACAATACTGATTTTGGCGGAAACTCCATTTTTTAAAAAAAATGCCGTTTATCACGTTTTGGAACCAAACTCTTCACATATCTATCTATCTATCTATCTATCTATATATATATATATATATATGAAATGAGGAGGAAAAGTCCTCAAAAAAATCATATTTAATTTTTTTACATTAACAATGTAATCAATATTCTATTTGAATGAATGAATGAATGAATTATGCATTTATATAGCGCTTTATTGTGTATTGTTGTACACCCAAAGCGCTTTACAATCATGGGGGGGGGTCTCTCCTCAACCACCACCAGTATGCAGCATCCACTTGGACAGCGGCGCCAGTGCGCTCACCACACACCAGCTACAGGTGGAGAGGAGAGAGTCATAGAGCCAGTCAAGTGGTTGGGGATTATTAGGAGGTCATGATTGACAAAGGCCAGGGGGGCAATTTGGCCAGGACATCTCTTTACGAGAAGTGCCATGGGATTTTTAATGACCACAGAGAGTCAGGACCTCGGTTTAACGTCTCATCCGAAAGACGGTGCTTTTTGACAGTATAGTGTCCCCGTCACTATACTGGGGCGTTAGGACCCACGCAGACCACAGAGTGAGCACCCCCTGCTGGCCTCACTAACACCTCTTCCAGCAGCAACCTAGTTTTCCCAGGAGGACACCCATCCAGGTACTGACCAGGCTCAACCCTGCTTAGCTTCAGTGGGCAACCAGTCTTGGGCTGCAGGGTGTGATATGGTGATATTTAATTAAGTATTAATTAAATAAGTATTAATCTCATCAAAAAAATTATTTAAAGTATTATCAAGTATATCAACGTAGTGTTTTTAAGCATTTTACATTTATTCTAAAATAATAACTCAAGGCAGTAACAGATTAAACAGTATATTTTATTTGTGAACTTATGTTCAGCTATTCTTAACTTTTAACTATTTATAAATTTTTCAGATCATCGGTCATCAAAGCTCAATAAATACTTGTCACAGACACAGAGATTTACTTTAAATTTCACCAAGCTGATTATTTACTAAAAACTCCCACAGATCATGTTTTCAGGCTATTTTAAGTTTTATTTTGTATTCGTAACAAAGTGTGAAAATCTCTCAACAAATCTAAGTGTGTGAGTTGTTTGCTTACTTTTTTTAATTAGTCTTCCCATTAACGCCATTATATTGTTCATTCAGACTGATTCACGAACACAGAATGCTGCACGAACACAAGAGGCGGCATTTATCGCATGAACCAATCACAGCTGATCATAACCATCATATCCAATCATATCGCGATGGAGGCATTTCCTCCTCTCACGTGACTTTCCCCCATTCATTCTTAATTACCCCCTATCAAACTCACACTTTAGGGAGTCTATTAAAACTCAATGGGCTCAGAGGAGGCTGCTGGTGTCGCTATTGGACAGTGTTTCTTTAGAAAAGCGAGTGATTTATACACTTTTTAATGTTAGATTTTGTAATACTGGCATTGTTTTATCTTTGTACTACAATTTTTTTTCTCGTCCAATATTTTGAGGAGACACTGCCTCCCTTGCCTCCTCGGAGGAAACATCCCTGATACATCATACACACATCATGGTTACACATATCATTCAAGTCTGATGTTTATTGTGATAAGTGGCTTTCTGGATGAGTATTTTGACTGATTTCCGATCCTTTTTTTCTTTTAGGCGTCATTATCGTGCCCAGTGCAGGGGTGGGCATTGTACTGGGTGGCTACATCATTAAGAAACTCAAGCTTGGAGCTCGTGAGTCCGCCAAGCTGGCCATGATCTGCAGTGGGGTGTCTCTTCTGTGCTTCTCCACGCTCTTCATCGTGGGCTGTGAGAGTATAAACCTGGGTGGGATCAATATCCCTTATACCACAGGGTAAGTGAATTACAAGGCATTAAAACCTTTCAGTGTAAGATTTGATGTATACTGTGTCGATTTGGGTATCCTATTTATGTTTTGAGATTTCAGTTATACTGGGGTTGTATAAACACTAAAATACTACAAACTACGTAAGAAGCATATGTTGAACAGCAGGTGGAAAGGCTGTTTCTTGCGTCATGCTGCATTTCAATGCCCTTACATATGTCTGTACATATGGTCTGAAAAGATATATGTGATTGATGTTGTGGTTGTTTGCTTGCAGCTCTAACTAATCCTACACATCTTTGTCCTTCTTAAATGTTTCTGTACCTATTGAGCATGCACAATTAATGCACAATTCAGGCCTTAAAATGTCATTTTCATGTGAAATCTGTAACCACTCACTGCTTTTGGCTGGATAACTTTAACCATATTAAGCCCTAAGATTAAGTACATTAAGATTGTACATCAGTCAGTCTTAGTGTACTTAATACTTTTTTTTTCCTCCTGGTTTGGGCTCTTTCACATACTGTATTTGGCCCATGAGCCATGTGTTTGACATTCCTGCTCCGTGAAGTCCATTGTCTAATTTCCTTTCGTCCACCTTATAAGGCACCATTGAGTGACATAACAAGTTTCTTGTGCTAAAGTCTGCAGTAGGAGAGTTTGCACAGCCTCGACCAGCGAGACATCGTGTTTTTGGAAGACATGGCACTAAAGTGTGAGGCCCTTTTAACAGATAGAGCTCCCCTGTCAGACACAGATGTAGAAATACATCTCAAAGCTCAAAGTATTGAGTCAACGCTTACATTTCACATCCGTCCGAATAAACTGTTTCTTTATTTCTCAAGGTTAGCCTCTCTCATCCTTTATGTTCTATAACAGTATTCTTTTATGGTTAAAGGAGGCACATGCACATTTAGAAGCTCTTATTTATTATTTATTCATTTGCTAACCACAGCTGCTTCAGCTCGGGTGACCTTGAAGAGAAAACTGCTTCCGTTAACTGAAGCTTAAAGGGATAGTTTGTCCACAGATTAAATTCTGTCATTATTTACTCATGTCATTCCAAACCTGTATGATCTTCTTTCTTCTATGGAACACAAATAGAGAGATGTTGACTAGGATGTGAGCTGCAAATGACAAACCAAAGCACCAAGTTATCCCTTTATGTCCTAGAAGAATGAGAACTGACTATTATGGTGTGTAGTTTTATAGCAGAGGGGTCTGTCTCATTCAGTGTTTAAAGACTGGATTCCGATCACTGCTGTTTCCGTCCGTCTTGCTGGCTGTGTGATGCCGTGATTCATCCCCTCATTCTGCTGCAGATCTGAGAGGATAATGTAAAGTCAACCAGAGCTGGTGCTGATTGCTCTGTTTGAATTTGCCTGCCGTTCCCACGGCATTAAAATAACTATTTAAACAGTATCTCTTCATTTAATTATACAGTCTGTCTGTTTTTTACTCTCTTTTATCCTCTGCGGGAGATGATCGTTTGAGAGAAATAGTGGCTTTGAAAGTCATTTTTGTCTTTTATATAGTCAAATGACAATCAGTCAATAAATCTTAGTGTACTGTTTTGTACTACTTATATTGGTTGTTGTTTAAACATAGTCCATAGATATCACTCTAAAAACTCTAAACCTCTTATATAAAAGAGTCTAGTAACAATTCTAGATATTGATTAAACTAATGGCCAAAATGTTCTACAAAAATGAAACAGATCAATATATTAGCCAACATGTTCAATCTCCCAATATTATATTTAATATATTCAAATATATTTGTAGATTATTTTAATGAGCCACTCATTTATTTAGCATTAAGTTTATATTATATACATCCAAGATTTAAATGATCATTGCTGGTTGGCTGAACAGTAAAAGACTAAAAATAAATAAATAAATATTAACAAAATTTATTAAATTTGTTAACGTTATATGTTGTTCATTATATAGTAATTAAATAAATTCTAAATAAATCATTTAAATACGTGTGTGTGTCTGTGTCTGTGTCTGTGTCTGTGTCTGTGTGTGTGTGTGTGTGTGTGTGTGTGTGTGTGTGTCTGTCTGTCTGTCTGTGTCTGTGTGTGTTTGCAAGTATATATGACCCAGTAATGTTTTATTTTTTCTCATAATATATATAATGATTATTAAAATTCAAAGCTGATTTTTATATATACTGTATATGCAGTTCATGAATTTTCTTATTGGCTAATGAGTTCTCTCATTAGCTAATGCATAAATACAGAGCCTGTCTCACAGTCAAGTGATATATAACTTTTTCAGTGTTATATGTCAGGTCATGTTTAATGCATTTTAGGGTATTCCAAATATTGCCTATAGCAGCTGATTTGATGCATTTTATTCTCAAACTGTTCCCCCTCTGTGTTTTTCTTCAGACCGACCCTCACTCTGACACACAGAAACCTGACGGGAGGCTGTAATGTGAATTGTGGCTGTCGGATCAATGAGTACGCTCCTGTTTGTGGCTCAGATGGCATCACATATTTCAACCCCTGCCTGGCGGGATGCAGCACTGTCGGCAATGACAGCACCGGGGTGAGTCACACTGCATGTGGTTCTGTAGATGCTCCAAATCGTTGGGACAGCACAGATCATTTCAGGTCAAGACATACCCAGTGCTAAACACTGATATTAAATCTTAATCTTCGAGCACAGGTCTTTCATTCCAGCTACATCTATTTACATGTAAACATCTCATCTCACTATCTTTGCTTATTGTTCTGGGTCACTGATAAAGGTGTCCATTTTATTCTAGAAAAAAAGCAGATGTGAAAGCTAGTTGGTGTCAGCATGTCTTGTCACTTTTGGGTCAGAGCATATACTTTGCATCCCTGATTATTGTTATTAATGATAAATTTATTATAAAATTATTATTATATTTTTAAAGGTTTGTTTTAAATGTATTATTGTTGTTGTTGTAATTTAAAATGTATTATTATTATTATTATTATTAGTTTAGATTTAAATGAATGAATGTAATTTAATATGAATATTTTCCATAATCACAGAATTGCATCGCAACAATGTCTTTTAAATTTTCGAATATCTGTGGTAATGTTCATGTGCATTTTTTAATGCAGATCAGAAACTACACAGACTGTGCGTGTGTGCAGAGCAGGCAGGTCATCACTCCACCCAGCAGCGGCCAAGGCAACCAGCTGCAACTGGTCATAGTGAAGACCTACCTGAACGAGAACGGATTCGCTGTGTCGGGAAAGTGTGATCGCACCTGCAACACGCTCATCCCCTTCCTCATCTTCCTCTTCATCGTTACGCTCATCACAGCTTGCGCACAGCCCTCCGCCATTATCGTCACTCTCAGGTAGGAAACAGTGACTAAAGTTTCTGATCTTTTATGATGACTTGAAAGGTGCATTTTTGTTTTTCGTTTAAAACAGAAATCATTAGTGGCGTTTTAGCACGTTTGGGATAAGTAAGACTTTTTAATGTTTTTGAAAGAAGTCTCTTATGCTCAGCAAGGCTGCATTTATTTGATAGTTATGAATATTTTGAAACATTATTAAAAATTAAATATTGTAATATATTTAAAAATGTTATTTATTCCTTTGCTAGCAAAGCTGAATTTTCAGCAGCCATTCCTCCAGTCTTAAGCGTCACATGATCCTTCAGAAATCATTCTAATATGCTGATTTGCTGCTCAAGAAACATGTGGAAAACAGCAGCTTAATATTTTTCTGCAAACTGTGATACTTTTTTTTCAGGCTTATTTGATGCATAGAAAGCTTTTTTTAAAAGCAGCATTTATTTGAAATAAAACTATTGTAACATTATAAATGTCTTTAATGTCACCTTTGATCAGTTAAGTGCATCCTTTCTGACTAAAAATAATTAATTAAATTTTTTTTAAATCAGATACCAAACTTTTAAATGGTAGTGTATCATAATTTTTATTTATTTAGTCTTAAGCGTCACATGATCCTTCAGAAATCATTCTAATATGCTGATTTGCTGCTCAAGAAACATGTGGAAAACAGCAGCTTAATATTTTTCTGCAAACTGTGATACTTTTTTTTCAGGCTTATTTGATGCATAGAAAGCTTTTTTAAAAAGCAGCATTTATTTGAAATAAAACTATTGTAACATTATAAATGTCTTTAATGTCACCTTTGATCAGTTAAGTGCATCCTTTCTGACTAAAAATAATTAATTAAATTTTTTTTAAATCAGATACCAAACTTTTAAATGGTAGTGTATCATAATTTTTATTTATTTATTTATTTGTCAATTCATGCAATTAGTAGTAGATGGTATTAAAGAATACAATAAAGTAATTTTCTTTTGCAGGTCAGTAGAAGAGCAAGAACGACCGTTTGCTTTAGGAATGCAGTTTGTGCTACTAAGAACTCTGGGTAAGTCAGAGTAAGTCATAAATGCTTTATTTACTTGAAGAATGCAAGGCTTTAAAAATCAACTTTGTCATGAAATCCATCAGCCTTGTTTATCACTGCAGCAGAGCTTTTCATATAGCACCACCTTGTGTTCTTAAATGTAAACTACAGCATTATACATTTGAGTTCGATAAGATGACGGAAACAAATGCAGCATAAAATGTAAAGCTTACAGAACCTCAAAGTGACTCCACAAGAAAAAATCAATTGGAAGTTAACAATTCAATCTTCCCTTTACCACAATTCTTCTCTTTTTCCATGTCTGCAGCCTACATTCCCACACCAATCTACTTTGGTGCGGTGATTGACACCACCTGCATGCTCTGGCAGCAGGACTGCGGCATTCACGGCTCGTGCTGGGAGTACGATGTTACTTCCTTCCGCTTCGTGTACTTCGGCCTGGCCGCCAGCCTCAAGTTTGTGGGCTTTGTGTTCATTTTCCTCACCTGGTATTCAATTAAATACAAAGAGGATCGTCTGGAGCGCTGGCAGCGGCGTCTGCCTCCTCTGAGCACCGTCAGCGAGCTCATCTGTCACGCGGGAGGCCACAAGAGCCACGCTCGTACCCACTCCTGCCCCGTTTTCACACCCCGTCCCGAGCCCCCGCTCAACCGCGGACACTGCAGCCAGAGCTGCCCCGGAAACACCCTCAAAGCAATAACCCCACCTGCCCGCTCGCTGCAGGAAATGCACATTTGAGGAACGTGAGCCCTGACATCTGCCTCCATGTGCCTTCCTGTCAGGTGTCAGACAGCGTGCGACGTACGCCTGTTTTGCTCCGCGTGGCTTTCAGGGGCTTGCTACGCTCACCGATATCAATGTCACCAGGACAAACTCACAGCAAATACACATTGCGTAGTATTTGCTGTCGAAGCGTATGGAAGACATCTCATGGTGCTAAATGAGGAACAGAGAGGACATTTCTCTGTATCCAATCTTGGGTACCAAGATTATTATATCAAAGACGTAACACAAGCACAAATGGATATCAGTACTATGCAACGCTGTACCGCATTAAAGCCTCCAGGCAGTCGCTTTCTACTGTATGATCATAATTCACAACTGTATTCCTAACAGTAGAACATCTCACATGGTCTTTCTGAACAAATCTGTGAAGAAATGCACTTCGAAATGGTGTTAACAACTCCCTTCTGGTTAGTTTGGAGGCGTCAATGTGATTCGGATGGTATTCAAGGAGCTGTACGAGAACATTCAGCCTCCTCCAGACAGATCACATGGTCCTGTATGTAAATTCAGTGCCTCAGATTGCCCCGTCAGCAGTGAGGTCTGCTGGCACTGAGTGGACTGCTAAAACGCATTTGGAGAAGGACCTTGAAGCCTTGTCTTCTCGTTCTTCATCTTCATAATGATTCTGTCTGTTCAGTGATTGACTGTCAAATGGCGATATGTGTTTAGATGCATACTGTTGGATTAGATGTTTCTTCAGTGGTCCAGTATCAGGTCTTGAAGAAGTCAGATCAATTCAATGGATTTTTTGGCAAATCCGTATTCAAACCGGTTTTGTTTTTTGCAAGTGTGAACAACAGAAAACACATGAAATCTGTCGTTTACAAACCCGATCCTAATCATATCCATATCTGGTTTGAAATCTGATTCTAAACTAAATGGTCAAATCAGACAAACCAGACATGTCAATATTCCTCTCTCTTTCCTTATATACACTCTAAAAATAGTTCTTTATTGGCATCTGTGATTCCATGAAGAACCTTGAACATCCATGGATGCTTTCCATTGTTCTTTCAAAGTGGAAAAAAAACTTCTTTAGTTTCTAAAAATGTCCTTCAGAAGGTTCTTTTGGGAACCCAAAATGGATCTTCTATGGCATCATTTCAAAACCCCAAAAAGTCAGTGCTTTCGGACAGTATGGATTCCTAAATGTCTCATTTGGTCTAAAGCTTAAGAGATGTCATGATAGATATGAACCAAGGCTAAACGTTTAATTTGTTGTCCTCTTGTTCACTCCAAGAATGATAACTATGAATATTAGTGTCCACACCAATGGACAAAAACATTGTTATATGAGGTGCATTTTGATTGACTGTCATTCATCAGCATAAAAAAAATCATTCTGAAACTGATTCCAGCGATGTTTCTCTTTGTCATTACCATTGTGGTGTGACTTCCCTATTTTCAATAAAATAAAAACATTTATTAAAACTTTATAGTTATCATGCTTTGTGTGAACAGCCCTTTACACACAGTTGTTGTATGAGAAAGTCTCATAGCATCATGTTGATACACATCAGATTTCATCACCGGTTCGATCACAAAAATATCATTCCTGGTTAAAAACCAAATCGGATTTGTGTGTAGTGTGAACACAGCGATTCAAATCCAGATTCAAATGAGGAAGATTCAGGATTCAGTCGACCGCTCATGCTGCTGCTGCTGCGTCCAAATACCTGAGCATGTCTGAGCAGCTTTAGCGACAGCATTGGTAAAGCCATAGCATAATGAGAATGGATTCTCCGCTTTGGTTTTTGGAGCTGTTGATGTATATGAGCATGTGCTTCGGCTACAGCCTGATCCTCAAGCACTGGCTCTATTCTTATGCACCAACTATGTATAATTAAACCTCTGCCTAATAATATGCAAACCTCAGATTTTCAGTACTCTGTAATGGGTATATAAAGCCAGTTTGGCAGTTCATTAGATGTAGTCCAGTTACTTTTGATCAGTACACAGAACAGAAGTCATGAAGTTTTTTAGCCGTGTGATTTACATAGGTATATTTGGTTCCGTTATGATTAATGAGGGACTA